GTCATTAAAAGCGCCGGTTAGATTAGCCGCGGCTAGTCTGTTCACGCCTAGAAATCCCAGACCCGCTCCAAACGAACAGGGGAATCATGTTAATGATTCCTAGCAAAACCTTTCGACATTGAGATGTTTTGGTGCAGATAATGTCTTATTTCGAGGCTGCACCATGGGTGCCCGTCCGCACCCGTTATATGGATATACACTGACGGCGATTCGCCGATGGATCTACGGTAAATACCCCGGGGAATCCAAGTAGCACCAAAGTTGTCAGCGTGAGTAAACAAACGTACTGCATGCTAGAAATTAAGTCCGGGTTGCAATAAATGGGAGTTTTCCTTTAAGCATATATGCACGAATATACAACTACGTGTCGGACTTGGTATGCTAATTAAGTTGGGCTGTGAAGCGCCTCCCAAATTTGATGTTTATATTTTTGTTTATTTATCGATACCACAGGGATGGAATATCTAATTTAGATACCACCTTTAGCATCGATTTATATCTAGGTATCGATTTTTTTGACAACACTAGTTCAAACAGCAGGATTGTGATTGGAGCAATCTCGACATCCTTCTAAGCAGACCAGAGTACTCTCCCCACACCAAATATGGCAGCCTTTGCAGTAGTAGAGAATGCACCCACAATCATCAGTTTAATCTTGGCAGCAGCTCAAGAGGATGACAAAATGGTATAAATGTCAGATGAAAAAATAAAAACAACCCTGCTGTATCCCATATCAGGAAATAAGCCAGCAACAAAGTAAAAAGAAACCATTTAAAATGGCTTGAATTTAGATTCAGAGGAAAACATGATTAATATCACTTATTAGATCATTTATTATTACTACAGCTGCAGTTTTTCTACAAGTTTCATTGTATTTTACAGAGTTCTACAACCACAGTTTGAAATGAACTTTAGAACTTTAAAATCTGAAGTTTTCATGCAATTTCATGAAAACCAAATTCCGACAGCAGATTTTCACTGGCTGCCCACTTAATTTGGTCCCATCTTTTCCCATTAGCGCTTTTCTAGACCACACTTACTGTCTGTTTGATTGGTTTTGCATTAGAGAATCAATAGTCTGTAAGGTTAATGTGAGAATTACCCAAGGTCTAAAGATAACCACCATAGCCAACCAGTTAGGTTACTCATTTGCTGGTGCCAGTTTCTCAAGGTAGACACTCTGGACAGCACATATTGAAGCCTGGTCTCCATCGGCACTAATCCAGAAACATCTCCAAGAGAGTCTAATAACATGTTACAGAGCACTTTTAAACAAAACCATTTATATTTTAGAAAGTATCTTAAAAAATAAGCAAGTGAAATTGTCAATATTGTATTTATTCTAGGGCTGCACAATATATCGTAAATATATCGTTATTGCAATACCAGCATGCACAATATGCATATCGCAAAGAACATAAATATCGCAATGAATTGTCAGCTGAAATGTTTGCTACACATAATATATTCTGTCAATCAAACGGAAGCATGATGTTTTTTTTAACAAATCAAACGGAGCTCTTCACCCATTTGGCCAATTGGGTGGGTTCTCATAGGTCAGATGCCCGCCCCTGAGGCGGACGGCACTTCATTTTGATACTTAGCAAACACCTGAGTTAGCTTTGTTCTGCTCTTTCTGCTGATTCTGCTTTTCCCGGGATCCACTGATTCCCTTTTCTGGCTCATTTTCTTTTTCTCTTTCCTCACATCTTTTGCTTTTCTCTTTTTAATGATTTTTTTTATTTTTTTGTTTTGATTATTTTTGTTTCTGAGTTAAGTTTTTATTTATCGCAAGTAATATCGTCATCGCAATATTAATCATCGTTATCGAATATCGCAGGTTTTCCTAATATCGTGCAGCCCTAATTTATTCACTGATGATATTCTGTTAATAAAAGTAAATACTTTACTAAAAGTTAATATTGTGGAAGTGATCTTCGGTAGAACGATTAGCCGTGTGGATCAGAGACTCAGCGCCTCGTTGCTGCCAGACGGCCTTCCTTCTGGGATTAATAAAGTATTTTTGAATTGAATTGGACACACGTTTCAGCTGGAATACGAAGAGGGGCTATAGTACACTAGACCCACCCACCCACACCCACACACACACACACTCAATTATTTACGAGGCTAATAAAAGACACATTGTGTTGCTATAAACATGCAAATGGGACCACATATAGAAGATGCTGCTTTCAGAACTAGGAAATATTCATAAATTAGCTGTTTTTAATTCTACTACAGAGGCAGCTCACAAAGTAATCTAAAACTGAATAAATACATTCTATTGTAAAGATTGTGGTTGCTCCCACTCTAAATTAACAGTAAAGTTGATTAAAAAAAGAAGTTATCCAGTCCACACTATGCTGAGTGAAACTTTCAGAAATGCTAACAAAGCACTTTTAGTTGGTGTGGAAACAATAATATGAAAACAAGACGACATTTTGACTGACTAAACTGAAATAATCAAAGAAGTAGAACATTAAGCTCCTTTCTCTGTTGAACTGGTTACAGAACTGCTCAGACTCATGACAGATGAGCACTTTTTTTTTCTGTTGAGCATTTGATATGTCATTTTACTCCTGACAGAGCTGACAAGATGACGGGTGTATTTACTGACCTTGGAGCATAACACAAGCTCAGGGACGTGCACATTTACATTTCATCAGAAAGTGCGCCCAGTCATTGGATTAAAACATTGAATCTAAAGCCTTTGCTGCAGCATGTCTGAGTAAAAAACACGTTTGCTGTCAATATAATTCTGTTCTACTAGACAGGCGTTTAAAAAAGATGGATTTCATTGTCAGTTTGAGCAGCAGGTGAAACTAAAATACCACTAGCATGAATGATGAAATAGCTAAGATTTGTCAAAGAAATTCTCATCTTTCCTGCCAAAAACTAGACTGAGATCATCCTATGACGAAGCGTTTATATGGTGAAAGACACCAGCAACAGTGGAGTCTTTGCCTCACTGGGCAAAAACAGACCGACTACGAATTCTACTTTATATTTGTGTATTCCATTAGTCAACATTTTCTAAATTGGCTCCCAGTTACTTATTTGCACATCGGAAAACTTGCTAAGTATTGGCTCGTATTAATAGGACACAACAGATTAGTTGCACTGTTTAACTGGCAACAAGGGTCCTCTCAAACTGCCACGTAGATGAACATAATTTTGTTTTACAGCAACAATATCAAACATTTAACATCCTCAAGGTCCCCCATGCAGTAAATGCTCATTTTTATATCAATGGTTATCAAAAGAACAACTAAGTTGTTAATTATGGGAGGATAGGTGGTTTAAAAACTGAGAAAACGTGCCAAATCACAAAGATGAGTCTACATGACACATCCTCCTGGTGACCCTCTGCGTGAAATGGTCTAATAACGATTTCTAATGCTATGTGTCACCAAATGTGGCCACAGATCTACCATCGGGTTATGTGTTGACAGTTCATTAGGGGCCGTTTGCTAAACCTTGACTGGGTTGATGTGATAATAAAGTGGTGGAGGTTAGGGTAACCCAAAAACACAGCAGGAAATGTTTCTCTTGGATTACAAAATTGTGCAAATGATGAAATATTTTGTCACATCAATAGATCAGGGATGCAATGAATAGTCATCACAGTAGACGTAGATATTATAGAAAATTTTAGTGACCTCTAAAATGTTTAAAATCATTTTTAGTTTCTGTTCCATCTCTAACGTTTTATGATGAGAACGCCGCACTAGCCTGTGCTAAAGCCTCCAAACGAGCTGAGCTTTGAAAGCTTTCAAAGACGGGAGGAATCAAACCTAGAGGACTACTTCAAGCTAGCAAACAACAAACAATCATTTAGATGCTCTGTAAGCTTTCCTTGGCTCAACACAGCAGAACATTAGCACCTGGAAACAAGACACGTTCTTCTAAAGCTGCTAAATGTACTCTAAAAAGTTAGACAGCTTTTCTGGCTGTCCAGTAAACTTATGTGAGGGGGAACTTTTAGATAATATCGTCCCACAGTGACAGGCTATAGGCTAGACCAGGGGTGTCAAACATGCGGCCCACGGGCCGGATCCGGCCCGCAACCGGGTTAAATCCGGCCCGCGAGATGGTTGTGTAAACTTTATTTTCATACTTTACATAAGAGTGAAAATAAACTTATCGTTGTGAACAAGTTTTCTCTGTAATGAGTATAAATAAAACAAAGCTGCGCTCAAGGCCCACACAAGAACTTGAGTCACATCCTGAAGTTGGCCGCCACTCAGGATGTGACTTCTGATATTGATGCGCTGGTGAAAGCTAAAAGTAAAATGAGTCAAATATACTTTAAGTGCTGCATGAAACTGATCTAGCCATGTGATCTGTAAGCTCTTTGAATCACTAAGGAATGTTTTTTTTTTATTTGTTGATTTTTTAAATTTTTTTCAAATTTTCAAGTACACTTCAGGTGTTGTACTTGTACTACACTGTCCTCAGGCTCCAGCCTCGTTTTATATTGATTGTATTAAAACAAAGAAAACAATCTGAAGTTTTTTTTTTTTAATTTACCGGTCCGGCCCACGTGGGACTAGATTTCCCTCAATGTGGCCCCTGAGCTAAAATGAGTTTGACACCTCTGGGCTAGACCCTCTGGCATAAAGTCTACCTTAATGTTGTAATCAAATTTCTTTATGTTGACTACGTTAATAATTATAACGCACACAATTTATTACACAACACAATTATGGAAGAAATTAGCCAATTTCTGAATTGTTTCCAGTTCAGTCTTGAGTCAAACAAAGACCAGAACATGTATTCATGTACTCATGGTTACCTTTACACATAAAAATAACAAGAGTTTAATTTTGTTTATTTTTGTTTGTTCTAGATTTGCCACTTTTTATTGATATTTTAAACTGTAGCATGCAAAGCCATAAACAATATGGGTAGTAGTAAATATGGTAAATATGAACAATGTTATGGTAATTCAAGCATAGAGATGTGAGTTATTTTATTAACACATGCTTGTTGTTTACCTTTCGAACCCCTTCCACTTCAAAGCCGCTGAGGTTTGCGTAAAGCGAGTGGTGCCTCTTTCCCAACAACGACGTTGTCAAATTATCAATGGTTGGGATGTCCTTGTCTGAAATCCCGCGGTGCTCCGAAGACCCCCTCGTCTCCTGCTGTTGTTGCCCAAGAGCTTCCGCCTCTTCGCGGCTCTCCATCTCCGAGTGCGTCGGTGCGGGTTCGGGCTGCTCAGGCCGAGTGCACAGGTCATACATGTCACTCCGGTGAAGTCACACAGAGCAGACGGGATCTACATGACCGGATAAGGCAACCAGCCAAGACTGAGCTGTTACATCTTCACTTTAGATGAAGAAGAGAGATTGATCAGCTGTTCACTGGCTTCTTGTTCTCCAACAGTTCATAAACTGTTTATCTTTAAAGCTGATGTGATGGTTCAAAAGCCAAGCAAGTGCATCATGTCGCATCACCAAACAATGTGTCAGGAACCAGGAAAACAAAAATAGCAAAGATGCAGCCAGGAGCTACCAGTCTCCCTACGCAGTGACGCTGCCCAACACCAGGACAATCAGTTCCATGTTTTCGGCCTTGCTTTGCGACAAGAACTCAAACGTTGTGAGTGCGTTGCGGAATTCTTTCACATCTTGTTCACAATCTTTATAGAAAAGTTGAATTTTGAGTCCTGCTCACGGCATTAAAAGCACGTTTCTGCTCCCTTGTCATCTTAAGCTTCTGTCATGAACAGAAAATGATCCACAGCTGCGCTTCGTACCCTACATGATGCTGAACAGATCACGTAGGCTGAAATTAAAACCACAAAAAGGAAGAAATGTGAAAAAGGGAAAACAGTCTAACTAACTGGTCTCCATTCCCTCCGCGAGGCAGGGACACGGGCGGCACGATGACTCCTCAGCTGCATTTCTCTCGTCTCTGATGCAGCTGTGTTAGAGATCACTTCATCCAGATTCAACAAGACTCGACAGAACGGCTTAATCCTGACTTGATAGCAGCGCTATAAAGATAAAGAACGAGGTGGAAGGGGGAAATGTGTGAGCGTAAGACGACAAGAGCCACTGAGAGGAGGGGGCAGGGAGTTCTGCTCCTCTCGTCCTATTACAAAAAGACAGCCTTTGAGACGGGACCCAATCATTAGGGCAGCCACAGCTCGTTTCCATGGAGATGACGCTGGAATGATGTTGGCTGCCTACTGATTGTTTAAGAGGCTGCAGACACTGCAACAGTGGGAGGTTTCAGGAGGCAGGCAAAAGAACAAGTGAACCCCATCTATTTTTTACTTTTTATTCATGAACCCAACAATAACTCATAAATAATATTGTCTTAAAGTTAAAAACAACTTTTAAACTCCTCCTGCTATCAGAGCAGGCCAAAGAGAGCATGTTTACACCGCATCCATAACTAAAAGGTTTAACTGAGTCATAACTTTGTTGATGGAGCTGTATTAACTTCTAGTGTCTGTGGACAGTTTCACAACTATCTGCTGCTTATCTGACAAGTTCTTAACTCATCTGCAGCAAACCAAAACTTTATGCATCTGACACACATTTTGTTTCACTCCAACACTTCTTCTGCAGCAGACTTTTCCATTATTTATCACATTTCACTTCAAAGATGGCAGCTTTAGCAACTATTCTGTTAGCAGAAAGTACTTCATGCGCTGCTGCTGAGTTTCTGACTGTTTACAACCACTGCCTGATGTGTGAAAGGGCCGCTGACAGGAGAGACGTCCAAACATCAGGAAACAAGACTCCAAATCCTGAAGTCTGAAGCTCAACTCTGGTCTGGCTTATTTCCTATTTCAGCTGTTAACTTTATTTTTTCTCCAAGTGTTTTTCTCCCCAGAAGAAGCTACATTGATGCTCTGCTGAGCTGTGGTGGCCTCATGGAGGGGGCCATCGTCTAGCACACTGCTGCTAACCACTTAAACATTCTCCCTCTCCTGAAAATAACACTTTACTTGACATTGAATGTGCTACTACTAGTTTATCCGTTTACTTATAGATTCACTAGGATAAATACAATAACGTTTATCTCTCACCAAACAGAATATTTACTAAGACATCACAATGTAACCATGGAAACATTAATTGGTATGTGTGTGTGTGTGTGTGTGTGTGTGTGTGTGTGTGTGTGTGTGTGTGTGTGTGTGTGTGTGTGTGTGTGTGTGTGTGTGTGTGTGTGTGTGTGTGTGTTCTGTCTTCTTGATCTCCAGTGAGTCGTGGTGGATGGCTGCTTATACTGAAGCAGGATCTTCTGGAGGTTTCTTCCTGTTAAAAGGGAGTTTTCCTCTCCACTGTCGCTAAATGCTTGCTTAGTATGAGGATTGCTGTAAAATGCAATTTGCTGGGTTCCTCACATAGGAAACTTTTTCTGTTTGGTTTAATGAACTGACCTGTATTGGAATGTTTACTTCGTGAAGTGCCTAGAGACGACTCTTGTCGTGATTTGGCGCTATATAAATAAAGTTGAATTGAATTAAAAACTTGAATATACGCAACATGCCAATGTGTAATTTGTAGTCATGCTAATTACAAACTTTTACAAGCTGATGAATCTCAAAGTATGTGACAGGGATAGTTGAACCACCCATCATTAGTTTTCATTTAAATTGCAGTCCAACATATGTGCGATCCAGGGCGTAAGGCAACGCAGATTAGAAAGTAGCTCTTTTAGCCTCATTGACTTGCATTCATTTTTTTCCTTCTTCTAGGGACCCATAAGCAGACGGGAAAGGGAGGAGACCTAGGCTCCCTGTGACGCTGCCTGAAGCTAGAAACTCTGTGAACAACTGAGTATCCGCATTACTCACTGGACAAGCTTTGGACCTATATAACACTCGAATGATGCCCCACCATTCTACTTTGTTTTTTTTCCTCTCATCCAACAAGGATGTTAGCAGTAGCTAGGGCTAGCATTCTGGGGCTAGCATTACTGGCACCAGCATTTAAATATTGCTGGAGCTGAGGTGGGTTGGGACATGATAATTAAAGGGTGTGTTTCTAAACTTATGATGTCTTAAACCAGCTTTTCTCAGAATGAACCATTTCTCATCAGCCATCACAACATTACTGATTTAAATAGGAAAGTAGGACAGAGATGGTGCAGACTTTTTGGTACATTTGACACCTCAGTCTGCCCATATTCAACAACAACAAGGAAAAATAATTTCTAGAACCCTTTACGACTTAACTTAGTGCTTTGTGACCTACAGAGTGGTCCCGACCTCGATTTTGGGAACCACAGGAGGGAGAAAAGACCTACAAAGTTGGTCTGTTGCTTTTCCATCAATAAAATGGACAGACATCAAGACTATCAGTGGTTTTGATGAATAATTTAAGTGTAAAGCCTTTAAAAAGTGCCTCAGTGTTTCCAACCATGAGTTGTTCTGTTTACCCCCTCCTCCGCTGTCACCGAACAGGAGTGACACTGAAGCAGGGCTAGTGTGTTTATAAAAAGCAGAAGGCATGTGGGCTCTGCTGATTATGTACAGTTCAGGATTGATAAATTATTCAGTTTCATCTGTCCAAACTCGATCCCAAATTTAACAAGCAGACTGACTCATATCTACCACTCAGTCAGGGGGCATAAAACATCCACCACTCTTCCTCCTCGGGTCACACTGATGAAGATTATAGAAACGACCACATCAGATGTCTCACAGTTAAACTGACTAGTCTGGGGAGTCAGACCACTCCTGCAAACGGAGCAAATTATTGTCTTCTTTTTATTTTTTTAAAGTTTTTAACAGATACTTTAAAATGCTGTCCTGATTCTAATCATTTGCTGATTTCTAAGAGTTAGGACACGCATCTGAGTGCGATCTTTAGAACAAAATGTCTGAATTAAACATAAAGAGTTTACATGGAAATAAAAAGTTGCTCACCTCCATGTTTCCTTCCAAGAATTTGGAGGATGAAGACTCATCTGATCCAGAGGCTTCGGTCCAGCAGGACGACTGGTTGTCTGGATGTGCATGGAGGGTGTTCAGAGGATGATGCTTTCCCACAGCGTTGGTGCATGTGTTGGCTGTCTGCCAGCCCCCATCTGGAAGCCACTTTCCGTGATCCTGTTTGGATGTTCCTTTAAGTGATGGTGAATAACTTTGGGATCTCAGCAGTGGTACCCTGAAGTGGTTATGGAGAGATTTAGCCTGACTGGGAATACTGCTGTTATCCAAAGTTGGTTTCTTTAGTAAGTGTTTGGCTTTGTCATTGGGGGATCCAGCGTCTAGAGATCCCTGCAGCAATCTCCCATGAGCCTCTAAGAGTCTGCAGAGAAAGATGGCCTTTTCTAGCTCAAATTCCTGCCTTTGATGCAATTTACACGCCGCCTGCTCACCATTTATCTTCTCATAAAGCGTCAGCAGCAACTGCTCTAGTTTTGTTGTTCCACTATGAGACAAAAAGCCCTCCCCTGTGGGCTCGACCTTACAGTATTGCCTGCTGTCTTTAATCTTCACCTTTTTGTCTGGGAGACATTTATTTTGATCCTTGTGGGACCTTCGTCTAGCTGCCAGCTCCCTCAAAGCCCTCCTATGTTCCCGCTCTGCTTGTTCTCGTAGGCACCTGAGCTCCACGCCAAGCTGACCACAACCCCACAGCATTCGGATCTTCTTTGCTTCCAAATCGGTCTGCAGCCAACCTAGCTCTTTCCCGTAGTCCGTCTGGTCCTGGTGTGAACTTTTGTATGACAGTGCCAGAGGGTTATACCTGTCTTCCCTCATAGTGCATCACTCACAGCACAACATGCAAAGTGGTTAAAGAGGAGGGCATGCATCAAAGACTGACAGGAGCCACAGGTGTGATGGTTGGATGGCTAGAAGACAGCATGCTGTTTTTAATCTGGAAAGATTAAATAGGGGGAAGGGAGAGATTATGGAATTAAATTATTTCAGGAAAAAAGAATTAGATGAAATAGTATTAATGCATTGATACTGAAATAATATAAATCCACAGATGGTTTAGTAAACTTCAGAATAATTACTTCTGGTAAGAAATCAAAGTTTAAGATTACAAGAAAATATATTTTTAGATTTAATCTATTTAACATTGATAAATGATAACTGTGCTACAAGAATGCGTGTGCAGTTAAGTGCAGGGAGGATTATTGGGACCTTTAAATAGGAGGAACTAAACAGCAACCTGTGCAGCACAGGTAAGTAATTTCTTCAGGTCAAGATTCTGCAGCTCACTTACATCTGAAGGTTGAATTTCCATAAATTAGACAGCTTTGTATCAAAAGAAACATACGAACCTACAATGCAGCTCCGAACTTAATTCCCAGACAATTTTACTCCAATCCACATATTTAAGAAGTTTATTTTGAAATGTGGACCAAACCAACAAAGAGTTTTGTGATATTCTGACTGGAGAATCAGAAGGGTGATATGTAAACTAGCTTGTATCAACATGATCTCACAAATTTTAAATCTTGTTTTCCCCATTAGGATTAACTGGGAATCTTCCCCAGCATTTATATTCAGAAGAACAAAGCGTCCAGCTAAATACGTTAAACACACGTTTCATTTTAGCTATGCTTTATTAGATATAATCCAGAGATGATGGTATTAACACACGAGCTAATTAAGAAGTTTAACTACACCAAACAGTTCCGCATGGTCAGATAGGTTAAGCTAAAATGTAGCGGTATGAAACAACATTAAACATGTTGTTTATTAAAACGGGTAGAAGCTGTGGCTGCCAGCTAATGCTAGCCATTGCTAGTTTACCGTTAAGTTTTATAGCTGTAACTTGTATGAAACTCACCACTTGGCGGACTTTACTGTTACTTTACATTTTTCAACGGTGAGAACATCTAATTCCAACCATGGGACTTATATGGACAATAATATAGGAAGCGTGGAGCAAGTCAAACTGTCAATATCTTAAAGATGGGACATAAAGTCAGGTTTGTTTATCGACACACGTCAGTGTCGAGTCCAGCGTTATCCTGCTGTCCCTGCCAGGACCAGTGTTGCGTTCAAGCATACTTCGACCTTTGGACACATCTCCTGTTTAACTATTTTACAACAGTTTAAATAACTTATTTTAGAAAACAAGAAAGTATATTAAGAATTTCAAAAATGAATATTGACTGATAAAACAAAATTCGGTCTTGAATAATTGCAACTATGAGAAATTATGCTTTTTTTCTAACTGTCTTTGTTCATTTGCATATAAGTAGTGTAATATATACATTATATATCATTTTAAAGCATTGATTTTACTGTTATTTTTCTGATGTATTGGTTTCAAAGAATGAAACTGTTTTAGGCCGCATAAATTGTTTGAGTACTTCAGGTTTGACAGTACAAACAGTGTTTCCAACAGTCCCTGATACTAACACAATCACGGATTAAGCTAATCCGCTCAAATTGTGGATCGTGGTTGTCCCCTAGTGGTCGCATGATGCTAACGCTGCAATTATGATATTTACAAATGTTAAATAATCTTTTTTATTATTATTCTAAATAAATAAAGACGTTTTAAAGAAAACAATTATCCAACACCCTCTAATCATTAAACTTGATATTAATGTAAGGAATTGTTTTTGATATGATACATGACAATATTTCTAAATGATGCCCAAGGATGTGGTTTTACAATCAGATGCCCATATATATTGTTACATGAATACAAAGAATGCATTATGATATGTAAGGACAAGTGTAAATATATCAATCATTCATCATCAAATTACACATTTTCAGCATCAGCATCCATGTATCCGATGACAGGAGCCATTGTTCATTTTCTTAGTAACACCTGTGTCTTTTACATTGGAAAAAGTCACATTGTCTTGTGTGAAAGTTATCTATTGGGTGGAATCCAGTCTTCCTGTGACTTGTCTTATTGCCCGAAACCGTGTCTGCATTGGTTTTCATATAGCAACTTCTTCAAACTTAATTTAAAAATAAATTACTGAGTGGGAGCATGCATGGATAAAATAATAAGCATTTGCATTTGAAGCAGAAAATCTCCCGACAAAATGAGTAGACAGTTAGTAAATCATTCAGCCAATGCAGGATTATTAAACCACTTCCTCTATCTCTGTAATTGAGACACATATAATAGATTGACTTCAAATCCACTGAGCAAATGCAGCATCCTGCTGGAATTTTCTTTATAGAGATTCATTTTAAGTTCATGATAGTTCTACAGACATTCACACAAGTCTGATCTCACTTTTTGGAACGTATCTGCTGTGTTGGACTAAAACAAAACATCCATAAAACCAGAAGAAGTTGTCATGTTCATTTTTCATGCACACTAAATATTAATAAACTGCAGCTCTAAATGTTTTGCAAATATTATCGTCACCCTTCACTGAGAGCAGTAATATACATTCAACCAAAATATAAACGCAACACCTTTGTTTCTGCTCCGATTTTTTATGAGATGGACTTGAAGATCTAAAATTCATTCCAGATACACAATATTACCATTCCTCTCAAACATTGCTCACAAATCAGTCTAAATGTGTGATAGTGAGCACCTGTGCTTTGCTGAGATAATCCATCCCACCTCACAGGTGTGCCACGTCAAGATGCTGATCTGACATCATGAGTAGTGCACAGGTGTACCTTATACTGCCCACAATAAAAGGCCACCCTGGAATGTGCAGTTTTTTGCTTTATTGGAGGTCTGGGGCCTCAGAACCGGTCAGTATCTGGTGTGACCACCATTTGCCTCATGCAGTGCAACACATCTTCTTCGCATAAAGTTGATCAGATTGTCAATTGTGGCCTGTGGAATGTTGGTCCACTCCTCTTCAATGGCTGTGCGAAGTTGTTGGATATTAGTGGGAACTGGTACATGCTGTTGTACACGCCGGTCAAGCACATCCCA